TCCGCCATTGGAAGGGGCTGGACTGTCACAAAGACGAGTTCGGGATTGTTTGCCACCCCCGCAAGTCTTGTCACACACTGTCCAGTCGGCCCATCTCGACCAGCTACCATCCACTTGACAAGTACAAAAAGAAGAAGAAGAAGGGAAAAAAAAAAGAAAGAAACAGTTAACATTAACCAGTGGTCGGGCATTTGTTTGACTGTATTACTGTAGTGTCAACAGACAGAGTGGCAGTATTAATTAAACTATCGAAGCAAAAGCGGTGAAACTTATGAGAAATTGTTGCGAGTCACCATAAAAAACCTCACCTGGGCAGACGTGGGTGTTGCAGTCTTTAGATTCCAATGTCTTGCCAGTACATTGTTTGCCACCAGGGGACGGAGGCGGACTATCACACTTACGAGTCCTGACTGATGTTCCTCCTCCACAAGATTTGCTACATGCTCTCCATGGAGTCCATTGAGAGAAACCGCCATCAACTGGGAGAGAAGAGCAAAGAAAACAAACCACAAAGGTTAGCATCACAAACTAAAAACAACTTTAGTTTAAGTGATGGCCGCCTCTGGGCTTTGAAAGCGCCTTTAAAAAGGACTAAAATAAAGTTTAATTTGAACGACTAGTAGATTTTTACTAAAACAATTTGATTATGAGCCCGAGATTTTGATGCGTGGTAGTTTACTCGAGCGAACTATAACCCGATAGAAATCTCAGGTCATCGCGAGTTGAAGTCTTTGATAGCGAGAAATGTATAGAATACCTCTGATTGTAATCTCGCTTACCTGGACAGGCTCCTAAATTGCAGAATCTGACCACTGAGGGGTCTCCCGCACATCCTGCTCCGCTGTGGGAAGGCGGTGGATTGGTACATTGCCGCGCTCTCGACTGTGTCCCATCTCCGCATGTGGCACTACACGATGACCACGGAGTCCAGTCTGTCCATCCACCATCCACTGCCGGAAACAACGAAAAGACACTAACGTTTTGTTGTTTATTGCAGGGTCAATATTTTGAGAGGCTCGGTGCCGACGTGGTGGCCGACGTAAAGTTGGAGCCAAAGAACACACCATCTCACGATCAAACAAGCCTGATATATTTCTAGAGCGTGACTTGGAAGTACTGGCGATATCAGGTCAGCGACTTAATTAATTTCACGGGAAATAAATACAGTGGAAAAGGCTTCTAATTATATAATCTGTCTTACCTGAACAGGCTCCTAAATTACAAGCTTTATTCTCTGAGTTATCGCCTGCACATCCTGCTCCGCTGTTGGACGGCGGTGGGTTGGTACATTGCCGCGTTCTCGACTGTGTTCCATCTCCGCATGTGACACTACATGATGACCACGGAGTCCATTTCGTCCACCCACCATCGACTGAAACAACGAAAAAAGACAATACCGTTTTGTTGTTCTTCATGGTGTCATTATAAAGGGAGGTGCAATGACAATGTAATGGTTAGCGGGCTGGAATCCGTATCAAGAGGCACAAGGCTGGGCTCCGGCATTATGTTGTGTCCGTTAGCAACGCACTGGTTTTTTTGTAGGTGTATGAAAGAGGACCGGAGAATTAAATTAAAATACCTTTCTCGCAAAGCTGAGAGGCATCTGCCTTTTTACTGATTCCATCTTAACGTTAGCCATTCTGAAGTATAGATGGATTTTTCTCTATTCAAAGTAGTTTTGTTAATATGTTGGTCGTTTATCAGTAGCCCGATTCAATGTAGTAATTTGGAAGTTATCAGTTAATTGTTTTCTTCAGTTTAAAAACTGCCATTTCAAATCACGTTTTGTCCGTTTTGCAGTGATGATGGTCGGCTGCTGGCTGTTGCATTAAACGATGCGGTCAATTTGGGTTATTGCAAAATTGCCGTGATTTAAGGTCTTCCTAAAAATTATCTTTCCTATTCTATTCTATTCTATTCTTTTCTTATCTATTCTATTCTATTCTATTCTATTCTAATCTATTCTATTCTATTCTATTCTGTTCTGTTCTGATCTGATCCGTTCTGTTCTATTCTATTCTCTTCTATTCTGTTCTGTTCTATTCTGTTCTGTTCCAGTCTATTCTATTCTATTCTATTCTATTCTATTCTATGCTATATGTAATCGTACCTTTTTGATACACTTCGGCGTCCTATTGAAAGAGGCTAGAAACGAAACCGCACAAATCGCACAACTAAACAAGCCTGATATGTTTCCTATACGTATCTCGGAGGAACTGGCGATATCAGGTCTGTGACTTAATTAACATCACGGGAAATAAGGGCAGTAGAAAAAGCTTCTGATTAAAATCTGTCTTACCTGTACAGGCTCCTAAATTACAGGCTTTGTTGTCTGTGTTATCGCCTGCACATCCTGCTCCGCTGTTGGACGGCGGTGGGTTTGTACATTGCCGCGTTCTCGACTGTGTTCCATCTCCGCATGTGGCACTACATGATGACCACGGAGCCCAGTTTGTCCACCCACCATCCACTGGAACAACGAAAAAGACAATATTGTTTTGTTGTTCTTCATAGTGTCATTATCATTGTTTTGTGTCCGTAAAAAAGACACTTCACAGTGCCTCTCTCCGCCCAGGTGTATAAATGAGAACTGGATATATATAACTCAATTAAAAGACCGTCCACCCAAGCCGAGTGCAGGCAACAATCCCTCTATTTTCTGAGTCCATCATATGTCAACAGAGATTCCTTTAACAGTATTTTATTTTGTCTCCTCCCATGAAAATTTTCGACGTTCATCTGTCTTCCGATACAAATTTGGTGGTTTGTTAGCTGTCAGTGTATTTTTGGTTCGCGTTTGGAAGTTGTCACTTCAACTTTTGGCCGTGTGGCAGTTTTTTATTTATAATGGTGGTCTACCGTCTGTTGCATTTAAAGACGCATTGCTATTTGTGTTATCGCAGGATTCCAGTATATTAAGATCTTGCTGAATTTATATCCAATCGTATCTTTTTGATACGGTTCTGTGGCCTACAGAGCAAGTTTGGTGGAGCCATGATTCGTATGTGGGGCTTGAAGTTCCAACTAAAAATTGGAATCGGGTAAATCACCGGGAACCGACGGCTTTCTAGCCGAGTTTTATTCCCAGTTTTGGAGGATAGAAACATCTTAGGGTCTTCCTCGAAAGTCTTCGGCAATCTTCGAAAATCTTCGGTAATCTTGATATGTTGCAAAAGCGTATCTGGAAGACACCATTAGATACCGTACCCAAATTCGACAAATATCTGGCGATATCAGGTCAGTGACTTAATAACACGGGAAATTAGGACAGTAAAAAGGCTTCTAATTACAATCTGTATTACCTGGACAGGCTCCTAAATTGCAGGCCTTGACATCTGAGTTACGCCCTGCGCATCTTGCACCGCCGTGGGAAGGCGGTGGGTTCGTGCATTCCCGCGTTCTCGACTGTGTTCCATGTCCGCATGTGACACTACATGTTGACCACGGTGTCCAGTTTGCCCATCCACCATCCACTGGAACAAAGAAAAAGATAATCTTGTTTTGCTGTTCGTCACAGTGTCATTTTTGTGGGAGGCTAGGTGCCGACTTAATGATTAGCTAGGGTCTAACCATATCGATCTCAGGCAAAAATCAAGCATATTTTCAGATAACTGTTGCATGTGAAAAATTTACATTGTACAGAAAAAAACATTCAGAGTATTTAGGTGCTTTTAATGAATTTAGACTCTTTTTCAGTTGTGTTCTTGGCGATCGAATGCTAAGTATATACATAACCCGAATTTACCTACCTGGACAGCTTTGAGTATTGCATCGCTGCTGCTCAGTCCCTTCTCCAACACATGTTCTGCCACTATTTCTCGGGGGTGGGTCAGTACAAGTTCGATTACGTGACCTCATCCCTCCCCCGCAGGTCAAACTGCACGTAGACCAGTTGGACCACTGAGTCCAGTTACCATCAACTGTTAATTAAACATAACGAATCGCTAGTGAGGCTATGGTTTACGTTCACACTTGGTACCAAAGCACGGTGCTTAACTACTACTACGATTCTCGCTGGGCACTAAGAACTAATACCAGATTTCGGGCACAGTACCCGTACCCAGGTACAAGGTCGAGACTTCGCATTTGGAAATGGTACTTAGGCCTTTGTGGTACCCATTGTTTGAAAGCAACACTATTTTGTTTCAGTGCGCAGGCACCAGTGCTCGGACACCAAGTGTAAACACAGCCTATGTCCGCTCGTGTACGTAAACGTCTAAACAAGTGTTATTTTTATATGCTCGCGCTTTTTGTCCACGCGCAGGTCCTGATACACACATAATCGACATGAACGAACATCGTTAACGTATATTTTTATAAAAGATCTCTAAAGCTAAAGTTGAAACGAATAAATCTCCGTTTGCTTCTTCTTGTGTGGAAGGTGTAAACGTGTACATAGTTAAACCCTGACAGCACATTGAATAATCTGCATACGAATAACAGGAGAGGACAAGCTATTTGTCAACCTTCTTGCAGAAAGATAACCTGCTGGATTCTCAGGGAAGGAGATTTCACCTGCAAGCAGCCTTGCCATTCGATAATTCAGGAAATTTCAGTTAGGACAAACTTCTAGTCCCTAACTGTCACAATCAGGAACCCGCTGGGACGAAGTTCTGGTGTAGTAAGTGACTGCCATAGCCAAACAGAACTTTGAAAAAATTGCAAGAAGGGCAACGTCTCTTATCAAGCAAGTTTTGAGTTTTCATTTTTCTCTTGTTTGGTGCAATTAGACCTCTCTCTTACCTTTCGTTACTATAATTAAATTGTTTTCATTGAATATGAATGTTAAAAGGAAGTGAACAATGTAATTGTAAGTAAGTGCAATAGTAATGTTAACTAGTGGTAGAAGTTATCAAACTGTTAGTAGATATTGTGTTTGGCGTTTAAATGTACGTGAAAAATGTAATACTAGAAGCGTAAAGAATGTCAGTATTATAAGTAGAATTCATCTGTTATATGTTACTGTACGGTAAGTGTGCGTGGTATTGTCAACTAGCAAGTTATGTTAACACTGCAAGTGATGTTAGTACAAAAACCTACTTGTGCATTTTCTATTCACACATTTCTTTTTCTCCAGTGCAGTGCCCACACAATTTGCCCCACCGCCGTATGGGGCAGGATTGTTACAGTCCCGTGTCCGAGACTTCGTCCCCTTGCCGCATGTTTTACTGCAGGACGACCAAGTCGTCCAATGGCCCCACTGTCCTTGAACTGCGGGGAAAGAAAAATGTCCTGAAATCTAGCCAGGTGTAAGAAATAACGGAGATCACGAGCTTGCGCAAAAATGACAAGTCTGAGCAAATAATCTCAACATAGAAGATCCCTATGGAATAAGTGTTAATAAAAACATATCAATGCAAATAAACTTAACGAGGTGAGAGTCCCCACAAAGATAAAAATAAATAAAAATTATTGAAAAATTTGCAGCAAATTGTTAATACAGCTTTGCAAATTGCAAAAAAATCTGTGAAATACCCTTAACGAAGACGCCTGTCAAATATAACGACCAAAAAAGAAAAAAAGAAAAACAGAAAAAAGAAGAAAATGACAACAACAACACCAGCAAACAAAATACAGACAACAACAGCAACAACAACAAACTCGACAGTGCAAAGCAGCAAAACCAACAAACGAAAAACAATAATTATTTTAAATTCTTATCTTGACCATGGTCAACATTTTACATTTCCAGAACTTACCAGGACAGTTATTGCGGCAATACCGGTCCTCTGAAGAATGTCCATTCTGACATGGCTGGCCTCCAAACGCTGGAGCGGGGCTTGTGCAATTTCTGTGTCTACTTCTAATACCAGAGCCTTGACCGTAACACTGTTGGGAGCATGCGCCCCAGCTAGACCAAGCCGACCACTGACCATCGATTGGAGTTGGCGCTAGAGGTGAGAGAAGAGGGAAGGTCTCACTGGCCATGTCAAAAAGGTTGGGTTAGGCTTACGTTACACCATGTAGAAAAGGCTACGCAACGGCAGCTGTCTTTTCTTAAAGGAGATTTGGGGCTAGGTCACGTAAATGTCAAGTCATGTTTAAGACCTGGGTCAAAAAAGTCACGACTTGTTTGAAGGGGCTCACAACAACAACAAAACTAACTGTGGATGAAGCAACAAAACCGACAGATGAAAACTGGTAATAAATCAAATAGGCTTCTTAAACCTTATCCTGTAACTATTGTTCATTTATATATTCAATTTGCTTAATTTATTTATCACACGCGACCCCACAAGTTGCAAAGCTTAAATGCTTATCGCAATTAAATAAACTTGTTGAGCGATTTTCTTTCTTACCTTAGTTGAAGATGAGCTGTGGGGAACTTAAAATTCTCATTGCCAAAAGCAAACCAATCTACATCACGGACATCGTTTTTTTATTTGAAAAAGTAATCCTTGTTGGCTCATCCCAGGTTTTCATGGTTTGTGTTTTTACTTGCGTCTAGTTTAAGAGTATTTTTGATACCTGTTTTTAATTAGCCTATCATCTTCTGCCATACCCACTCAAGTATTTAATTGGCATCATGGATTCTCTTTCGTTAAAAAGAGAAAAAAAACAAACAAACAAACAAACAAACAAACAAAACAAAACAAAACAAAACAAAAAAAAACATAAGGTAAGATATTAACCTTCAAATCAAATCACAATACCTCCTCTAAATAAGATATTTTCATTTGAGCCGCTGTGAAGAGTCAGGTTTTCCACGAGTTGGTAAAAACCAAAGAGTTTTGGTCAGAAATGCGGTAAAGATCAGTTGTCTGAACAATTTAGTCCAGATTGGGAATTAACATTTGAACCTTACATAAGCAGAAAAGCATAACTACAAATCATAATGACAACTTTGAACGAGTAAATTTCTGGAAAAGATCAAGTCTGGAATAAGGTTGGGATTTTGGTGTTTTGTCCAGAATATGCTTCCAAAAAGCAGCAGAACAGTCCCTGATCTACGGTACGTGTCTCTCGGAGACCAGTGACACACCCATACCTAACAGTCCCGTTCTTGGCCTGTTGCTCATAACAATATATTTTTGTTGCATTCTATAAACTTTCTTTGGAACTAACTCAGGATCAACTCTACCACTCAACTTTAGCGAGAAAGTGCCAAAGTTATAAAATACAGCATGTGGTTTTCTGTCATTTTTGTCTCGGTATAAAGCTGTAGAAGATGTGTAGATACCATTTTGACAGCTCGCTATGTCCACTCGCAAGCAAAGATGATTGTCACCAGGAGTAAGCGGTTCTAGTGGATTAAACAGCACATATCGAGCTTGTACAGGTGTGGTCATGTTCGTAGTTTCCACCTCATCACCAGCGAAGAGAGGGCCAAAAAATGCCTGAAAAGGAAAGCGCACAAATGTTTCATCAGTAGTCAATTGCTGGTCTTCACTGTCATGCCATCATTAAAAATAATTTTAACCCTGTAACTGAACAACCTCACAAAGATTTAGGTCTGTGCGGTTTATCGTACGCCTGTTATATGGAGAAATGTTTCATTCAAATTTACAGAGCTTTGCATGGTGACACCATGTTTGTGGCTCTCGGAGGGGCACCGGTGTGGCGGTCGTAAAGTAACAGATCTTACTACTAAAACAAAAAGTTATTTCTTTAGAGCTTCGACACATCGAAAGTAATTTTTCCTCTAAGTTAAGGACTGTTCAGCTAAGTAGCAAAAACTGAAAAGAAAAGTCATCTTTTGACCCACGCGACAGCCTTCTCTGGTGGCCATTTTAATGCCACGAAACACAAAGGGCTTGGAAATTCAAACTTATTCCATTACAAAACGAACAATCTTAAAACATCTAGTTCTTGGAGGTTCTTGCATTTAGGGAAGCTAAAATTTCGGAAGGATCGGTAATTTTTATTTTTATTTTGAAATATGAAAGTGTGACCTGAAAACCGGCTATACTACCTACATGGCATGACGTAGAATCAATAGCTCACTTTAAAAAAGAGCGATGGAACGCGTGTCAAGTCCAGAGAAGATAAAGGAGGAAAAGCCTTTAAATAAAGGGCAATCTTCATTCTTTGTTCGAGGAAAAATTGCTAGCAAAAGGCCTTCTTCCGTAACTTCACATATTCACTGTTGTGTTTCTCCCAGTCTTAGAGGTACCCTATCTTCTCTTTTATTATTAACTCATGACTGACTTAAAATTACCTTAATATTTAACGTCCCTCTAAAGATTGCAGTGCGCGATATTTGTTGATTGTTTGCGTGAACTCAAACAATCTCATAAGCTGTTCCGCTGATACTCTCGACCAAGACCATGACCCTTTTTTAGGTGACCCACAGTTTCTCAAAAGTTTCTCTGACTCTAGATCTGTGTGATACGTAATAGATTGACAAGCAGTAATTATTTTACCACAGGGTGTGATCCGTTAACGATGTAAGAAAAATAGACACCATCCGTACTTGTCTTTAGGTAAAATTGAGTAACTGATTTTGTCGTGCCTGGTTTCCCTTGTATAGAGACTTGGTCTACAAACATTACAGCACCTTCAAACAAAACAGAATGAATATCAAAAAACAATACCTCTGCCATGTCAAGGTCGCTCGTTCGCCGCCGTTTTTTCGTTCGTTCAGTTCGTTTCGTTTCGTTCGTTCGTTCGTTCGTTCGTTCGTTCTTCCATTTGACATTATATCTTTATGTCATACAATATATCTTTATGATATGTCAAGGAGCCTTTTTATAGCGTGTGTCAGACAGTCCAGGCACCACCGGTATATATATCGGGGAGTCTACACTACAGGCTACCTTTGTATCGATGTAATTCCACATTACCTGTGCAGAATTATCCACCAGTCGAGACTGCACTTTAATTTCCACAGTATTGGGCCTTGATTCGACATAATTTACCTTTTTCCTAACGCTTTCAGTGACGTCTTAGGAACTCAATCCAGCTGTGAGACGAGCCACGAGATAGCATATTAGTCCGCACATTACACATATTTTGAGTACGGTAACAGCAGAAAGATTTTCAATGGTTGAATCCTTGAAATGATACATTGTTCGCTCGTCTCAACATCCTATACCCCGGAGTTTTAGCAAGTCAATCTAGCTTTAAAACGCCACTGTTTGTTCTGACCTCTCGTACAATATGAACTGGTATTTGAAGTCTATAAAGTTACTCACCTAAATCGACCTCGAGATATTGGTGTTCATTGATATAACCCGCACACCACACATCATCGCCATCAAGCACTGGGAATCCAGGCCCCACGCTACTCGAAGATGCAGTAAACTTCGCATTGCTGTTGGAATCGATTAATGAATTACAACCAGAACTTGGTGCTGAAAGAAAAAAACAACTGATTTTGATTACATACGTTATTAAAGAGAGTTAATGTTACATGATGTTAATGGAATATACGTAAAGCTTCACTTTATTGGGAACCTCAATATATAGCCTTCGTGGAAGAAAAAACGTGAGAAAGTCAGTTCTTAAATGATATGTATATGCCACCCTTGTAGTTGAAGAACCTCTTTCCATACACTTGAAAAATCTTAACTTGATTTGAACTGTTTCAGTTAATGGTTTGGGTTAATTCGCTTAATTTCAGTAAACACTATTCAACTTACAGAATTAAAGTCGAACATTTTGCGTTTATAGTGGAAAAGGCCTCGAATTTTCTCACACTACTTAACTCTTCCTTTAATTTCCTATTGTAACCTACCCACAAAAATTTTGTCAAGGGTTTTTACCACAGTGTTTTTACTTTATTTGAGCTTTTTCTAAATTCGTAGTATTTTCCGAGAGTATCAGAATTGTCGCCATTTTGCAGAAGCAAGGTTGTAGCCGTGTCCATGTACATGTAATGATAGTAAAAAATGAAAACTCTTCCTTCCTAGAATTGAAGAGCATTCCTAAACGAAAATTTAAGCATCCAGAAAAATAAGCAATACCGGGTAATACTGATGACGCAGTTGAGCCCCTCTATTACGAACACTCAGGGGAAACGAACAATAGTTCGAAATAGCGGGAGTTCGAAATAGCCTATAGTCAATGAGTGAAGGGCAAATCCAAGAGAAATGGTTTTGAGTTCGAAATAATGGGGAATTCAAAATAACCGAACTCGAATAAGCGAGTTCCAACTGTAGTATAAATCAACAGCATTCGCTTTAAACGCTGCTCAAGAGGTTTTTGATAACAGACTCAGTTGAAGGTAAGAACCACCTTTTGTGGTGTAGCATGCGCCAATACCAAATGAAAGTCATGTCCACTACCTTTCATTTGAATGCGTCAGACTTTTGGATTTGTTCCAGGGACTTAAAATTAAAACACGCCTTTGTAGCAATACCACATGAAAGGACTGCTCGACACACTTAATTTGAACGTTCACACGTTAGAGTTTCATCCACAGCCTTAAAGCTGGAGCCCAGAATCTTGTGCAGCATTAAAAACATTACAACATGAAGGTACTTAAACATTACGATTTCATCTAAAGACTGAAAAGTTGAAACACCCTGTTACGCACGATAAACATAATAGGGACCTTTAGCAACGCAGATTTTTCCGACGGCGACGGCGATCGGAAGTCAAATCATTTTCCGGTAGACTTCTTACATTTCGGCAGGAAGCCGTCCTCTCTCCGCGCGGACGTGAGAACAGCGAGTTTCCCGTTGTCCACAAAACGTGAGTACATTTTTTGCCTTCATGCATGGAGTTACTGGTCGATAGCGTTCATGGAAATAGTCTATCACTTATAAGCATTAATGTTTCATCCAAAGACTTAGAAAGAATTATATTAATTTATTTAGCTGAGGTTTGAAATGTTGGAATGGGAGACTCTGTGTCATGGAAAACAATGCTATTTCCTTCAGTGAAACAATTAGCACATGAAGGGCTCAACTTGTCTGACATAGAAAACTAAATACTATTCACAAGTGCTTTTACAAGTAAAGCGCAAACAAATTAACGATGTATTCTCACAAATTGAGCTTTTAATCAAAAATGCTTACTTTTCTCTGGTTTCCTCGTCTTAATAGCTCACTGCGAGAGTTTATTTAGTCAAATTTTTCTTTTTCGTTAAGTCTTGCCAAGTGTTTTACATTTCTGAACCTAATATTTTTGAGATCTTGCCTGGTAAACGTGACTTAAAGAGGTCCTAAGGCACAACGATACGGAGACGGACATAGAATCTAAGAAAGAGGGCCCATATTTTGTATAGCAATGCTTTTTAAACAGGAGTTTATTCAATTTCTGCCAAAAAAAAAAAAAAAAAAAAAAAATGCCATTTAACAGATTTCGTGCAAGAATCCCCTTTGTCACTTCTTAATTCTTGGTAGATAACAAACAAAATATCAGGCAACACAGGAAAAATTACCCTGAACGAAAATTTTGCGGCTTTGTTGCGAAAAATGACTGATATTTCAAGGTAAAGTGTCTATTTAATATAATATCAGTGATTGTCTAGCGAGGATAATGTGGAACAGATAAAGGTTTTGGATGTTCATAGTTCTCGCGTACAGGCTCGTAAAATAGACAAAATACCGTTCACCAAATATGTCTAACGCATTTAAGAAAGGCTGCTAAATAAAACTTTTATTGGAGATATGAGGCCATGCATCAGAATTTTGTTGTCGCGTGCTTTAAAAGACCAATATATTTTAATGGCCAATACGAAAAAACACGGGCAATGAAAATAATGACTTTTGTAGCTTATGTGATATTTGAAAAATCTTGTTCGCTAATTCAATTAAAATGATCAATTAAGCTACAATACACTCTTTTACATAGATCTTTTGACAATTTTTTTTTTATGAAAACCAAGCTGAGCTGTGTCGTTCAGTCAAATCAAGATTTATGAAAACCTTCTCACCACAAATGTAATATCACAAACACATTAGGTATTATACTAAATGCAATCCCTCCCCTGTCTGCCAATGTCTTTTCAATTTATAATGGTTAGCCTTCAGATGACACGAACCTACAAATTGACTTAGGAGAAGTAATCGACCTATGAGAAGAATGGGCATGTCCGTTTATTTAGGTCTAACGTGGCAAAATCTGTTAAGAGCAGTATATTCCTGTTTACCAAGTGAGATCAAGTATGTCGCTGGAAATGTTCCAATGATAGTTCCAACATAAACCGAAAAGCTATCTTTCGTCAGAAAAAAAAGAAGTAAATTAGAAACGGCCATAACTTTGAACGAAATATGTATGAGTTGACAGAAACATTTATTCTTTTCCGGGGGTTATTAAACAAGTAATAATAAGGGAAAAATTTAATTAACTTTTGAAAGGCCATGCTAAGCCTGGTAAGAGTTTTTTAAGTTAAATAACCCGCAAAAGCAGCCAAAATCGTGAACCATCAGTTCATCGTTGAAAGCATTACAACCGAAAAAAATAACAAATCACTTTTGATGCCAAAAATCCCTGCGATGTGCAAGTTGCTTTCCGTGAAGAAAAAAAAAGGTGTAAAACTGATCGGAGACATCAAAAAAAGAATTAAAACACTCTTACCTGAATTGTAAGGGTTGTGATAAGTACTTCTTGTTTTTCCTAGTATTGTTAAAAGTGACAAAAGTAAAAGCCAGTTCCCACAACGGGAAAGCATTTTCAACCCGTTAAGCCTAGTCTTCGCTAGCAATATGAGTCTTAGCTCCGCACTGTACCAAGTTCTTTTCGTTCTGCTAATACTGGCCCAGAGAGCCTTAAATGTAACTTATAAAGATTTCCTTTGTTTAGCTAACCACATTCCATACTTCGAAGTGTAAATTTTTGTGACGTTAGTAACGTGACGTCATTTCTTTACTGGCATGGAATACTGCCCCCTCTGTAGCGGCTTTCAGTGTGTCGCTGCAGCATTATTAATCCATCGGTAACTATACAAGACCAAAAGAAAATGTCATTTTCCATTACAAGCAGTCTTGCAGACATTTTTCAGGTAATTTTTACAAGATCGAAAAGCCGTAATTTTCGATAATTTTCCGGTTCGTGATTACTTAGTCCATTGAAATTTAGTCGTTTACAGATAATTGATCTTAGTTATCAAACAATGCATTTATCATAATCGTTCTTGCCTTTATACCAGGCTACGTCCCGTAGAAAGTTCATCAGTGCTTATGATACAGCGTCAGTTTAAAATCTTGTCAGATAGTAAAACGCTTGCATTTCTCATGTACGGAGGGAAATGAATGGACACGAGTCTTTATGGCACGTGTGAAAGATGGCTACCTGAAATAAACCCTTTGCGTGAACTTGCGAAATGCCGGGCCAATATTATACAGCAGTTTCTCGTGGGAAAGAAACTCGGTTTTTTGTGCAGTGTTCAGTCGTTTTTCTTTACAATGTCTTAGCTTAAGCCCTTGGTCTTTGGGGTTCTTTGTACATTAACTCAAATTTTGCTCCAGTTGGCCGCAATTCGTGAGAACTAAAAAGTACAAGAACGTTCTTCTCCTAATGCGACCTAACGTTCACGGTTGAATGATCCCAAGTAATTAAGTGTGTCACCTGGAAACCGTACTAACCAAAGAAAGGAAACCACACTAATCGTATTCAATTTTTCAGAGACTCGGCAAGACTTTATCAAAGAGAAGTGACGAACTTCCTGAGTTTTGTAACTAGCATGTATCTCGCTTAATGGCCAATAAATAATTTCCCTGCAGTACTTTCATTCCCCAAGTCGTGGCTTTTTGGTTTGTGTTTTTGTCCCTCTCTTTAACCTGATATCTTAGATGCAACTTTTCTTTTTGCCTTCTCAAAAACCATAATATCACTAGCCTTTTTCCTCCGTCTTGGGGGTCGGTACAAGGTGGCCTACCCATATATACAGTTTATAAAGGCTATGCCTGGTTGCGAAAAGGTCTGAAACTGCGTCGTTACCGCGAACCACTAGACGAACTACGAGACCGCAAATGAAATAAAGTTGTACAGTGAATGGAATTTAGGAATAGCTTTTAGCTTAGAAGGCCTGACCAAAGGGTATGAAAAACAATAAAGTTTCAATAACCATCCTCCAGATACTCAAACATTCCAAACTTGGGAGGAAAATGTAAATCGGGCTTAGTAAAGAATATAAATAAATCAGTTATTAATTATAAAGTTTTATCGTAATTTTATCTCGTCAAGTTTTGATATGATCGGTAAAACTGTATAAGTCATCTTATATTCCTAAGATTTTAATACTAAGGAGGCTTCTTCGAGCGAAAAACTTGACCTAAAACTTAGTCCTTTAATGGTTGAATAAACTAAGCTGATGATGGAATTGCAAAGAAATCTTGCAGCATGATATGAAATACCGAGATATTTCCCATGTAAACTATGTAGACATGATGAAATTGCAAAGAAATTTGACCAAATCTTGTATGGTTTAAAATCACCGCGTTATTTCCCATGCAAACTATGTAGCCATTAAGCTAAGTTAGCCGCGAAGAAGCGGAATTATTAAACGCTTCGAATGCTATATATATTTTGATCAAATTAGTTACATAAATAATCATGGAAATTTCCTAGAATGTTCCATACATGTTGTATTGTTTACAGCTGGCCTGAGTGAGACAATAGTAATATCAGACTAACGATATACTTTTGGTCACGTTCGGCTCACTTACACAAAGCACTCGACGGCGCTGATAACAGTGATTGTTTTTTCATATTGAATTCCTTCTTCTTCCTTTCAACTTATAACAGGCCTGGTACTTCACGAAGGAAGTGAGAAAACGTGAAGTAATATTTTGATGCTCCCGCAAGGCAAAGTAGTTTGGGATGCTTCGTTCTGAGTAAGAAACTATACTGGCGTTTCCTTTGCGGACTCCAGAAAGAGGTTGAAACTAACGCAGAAGAGGGCGGCGTAATCCCTGCGGGAGTTTCGGAAGACCTCTCTGCTGAACGTTATGAAAACACAATAAACCCTTAAGTGACTAGCTAATCGTGCAGCAGTAAAACACGCTTCAGTTTAGTCGGAATCATGTATGGTTTAACAAAACGTTTTGACGAGTGCACTCAGCGATTCGAAGCTAATTTAAGGACGAACGAAAATAGGAAAACTCTGAGGAGAATCTTGACCAGTTGCTGAGGGTAATTTTATAACATGAACATCCATGTGGTTTAAAATGTACAGAAAAACCAAACAATGTGGCTTTTAAAAGGGTCACTATGTTGGACTTCAAAGCATTCTTAATTGCTTCTCGCATAAAGAACGTTGAGAGTCTACTCTCTTAAACAACAAAAAGTAATATATTTAATTAATTTTATTGTCATGTAAGATTGATGATTTTGCGTTATTGCCAAATAATCATGACGAAACAATTAATAGAACACAGACTTTGAACTTTGCACAGTCATTGAATGTACTGTTAGTCAATTAGTTTTCAATAAGTTTTCTCCTTTAAATTAATCTAACTGACAGACTGACAGATCTAACAAATATCTGCTGACCTGTGGCCTATTGATATTCTTATCTGAATACAGTGAAAATGCGACGTGTCTCTATTCTTCAATCGATTTCCCGCGCAAAGGGCAAATGTAAAAACGTCCGGAAAAAGTGGGGGACGAACAATCTTTGCAGGTGATGGCGTTTTCAGTTCTGTCCAGATAGCTGTTAAACTTAAAGGAGCTAATTTACGGTTTGCTCATTTTGAAAAATTTTGCCTATATTTTTTTTATCTGTGTCAATCTCCTCCATCCTTAACCATCTTTGTTCGTTTATGGTTTGATATTATCTCGTTGGTGTTTTACTACCTTAGTAAACTATTTTTTTTCAGGTTTCCTTCATTTTAAAGGTAATTTTATACGTGGCCAATATATCTCAAAATACCGTGACTGAGCTCGAGTACAGCTCCAGACTGAAGTCGCTAAACTGAGAAGGAAGTTACGAGGAAGGAAAAAACTTTTGAAGTTAGCGGTTGTATGTTTTATGGACGAAAAATATACTTTGTAGTTTAACAATAAATCGTATTCATGGTATTTTTTTTCAGGGAGAGAACTTCAATACGCTTTAAGCGGCCTTCACACGGCAAACTAAAGTTGGCAAACTCTTGCTGGCATTCTCAAGTTGGTGTGTGTGAACGGCACAAAAACAGTCGGCAAACACGTTTGCAAACTGTTGGCGACAAATAGAACTTGCCTCTATTTTCCCCAACTTTTTCACCAACTTTTTCTTGTTGATAAACTCGTATCTGACGCGTGAACGACTGACAAACATGTGTTGGTAACTGTCAACCAATCAAAACACGAGCTCTATTCACGTGATTTATTTGCATGATACTTCACAAAATGGCAGACGCTAGTCAAGATGAACGCGAGGCCACTTTTAAATTTATTGAAGAGGTTCACAATTGTCCGGCTGTTTGGGACCTTTCATTTAGCATTTAGTATTTAGCATGGACTGTTTATTAGTAGTTTATTAGTATTAATTTTAAATATTAGTATTACCTGATGATTTTTAACCGTGTATAAAGAAATGTTAAATAAATAAATAAATAAATAAATCTGTAGTCTACACCTCAAAGATACTAAAAACAAACAAAAGAAAATGGAAGAGCTAGCGGTCAAACTGAGTTTCGTCCAAACCTTTCTCGCTTTCTGTTTCTTCTCTTCTCTTCTTCTGTTCCGTTGTTTTACGTGAGTGCCACTGCACCAAATCGGCCATGTTGCAAATTACCGTGTGTTGTGATTTGACGCGAGTTTGACGTGTGAAGGAATGAGTTTGCTAACTTTTTGAAGTTTGTCTTGTGAAGGCCGCTCACATTATTTCAAAACAAGCGACCATTTTACACTTTATGAGAAGAGAAGCCGTGAAGAATCTGACAATTCATTTTAATTCTTGTTATACATGAGTCATGTATATTGATATAGTTAATTATTAGTTAGTAATTTATCAATTAAAAGCGGCCACGACACATGGCCAAATTATTATCCCAGCAGGTTGCTATCTTTAATTTAAGCGCTCTAGCTCTGTCTAGCAAACAGAGCTCGACTGTTGGCTTAAATCAGTCGTGTAGTCAATATGATTGAAAACCACTCGATGGAAGGGGGCATAAAAAACACTAATTCAGGATTCAGGTAACAATGTTCAAGGTGACAAGGTAACAATTTTCAAGGTTACAGATTATGTTTCATTTTGCACTGACAAAGGTATGCAAGTTCTGGAAGCCCTTCATTTTTTGCTAGATATGGTGCAAACTTTTCATGCATTAGTCCAAACAAAATTTGAGTGTCAAATTCAATATTGTTTTTCAGCTCTTAACCTGACTGTCGAAATGAGTAATGAAACTCAATTTTCAATAATGTAATTCATTAATTCACCTTTGGAAGGAATATAGTTAGTACAGTGGAACCTCGATTTAACGAACCTCTATATAACGATGTCCCCAGTACCAACGAACGATAGTAGACTATACGGAAAAGAACCTTGTTACGACGAAACCCTGTTATAGCGAACATACTTTGCCAATCCCTTGGCACTTCGATTCATTATATCAAAGTTCCACTGTAGTTTGACATTACTATAACATATTTTCTTGAAATTTGTAGTGGTCGTCAATCAAACAGGGTTTACATGTACCTTTATATAATGTATATATAAAATAATAGATGACGAACTGATCAAATGTAGATTTGACTTGGCATTTTATCACCATTTAGTTTTGCACTACACAACTTGCAATTGTGCGCAGCACTCATGAGATAAAATTGCCAAATGTAAA